CTCGGCCTCCTCGCTGCAGAGAGGGGCTTTTTAACTTCGGCTGAGGGACGAGGTTTGGGTCGTCCTTCCCGGAAATCTTCGGCGAGGAAAGATTGTTACCTTCTGCCGGCTGTGTGTACACAAAAAGGGTGGGAGAACGGGGCATAGTAGTTATCCGTTCTCGCACTACAGGATCCAAAACTCAAAATAAAACACAGTCTGTTCGACCAGCGAATGTTACATTTGACATGATAGGATTTGATGAGGCCGTGGTTCCTCGTGGATCTTCTTGTCCCCTGGATGAGTCCGGAGTGAAGAGGCCTTGTGGACCTCCTGACACCAGCGTGTGTCCGGAGTGAAGAGAGCCTTGTGGATCTCCTTACACCAGCGGTGTCTGGACGGAAGAGGAAGAATTCTAGCTGTGCTCAGGCTTATAAACCAGGTGGCACAACCAGTGGGGGGCCCTTTCTTGGCCAATGAGGGACCAGCATCAGGTTTCTGCTGGAGCTGGGGGGTGTGGTCATCCGGCATGAGGTTTCTTGCAGACCCCAGGTCAGGCGTTTTGGTGAAAGGAAGGAACATGGCTGCTCCTTTGTTTGAAAAGCACGTGTGAAGGTCTCACCCAGCCAGGACAGCAGGGTCAAATCCCAACAGTAGCGAATGAGGGGACCAGAAACTGCATCTTGTAATGCAGGGTTGTCCGACTCATGTTGAGCTTCATGCTCCTAACCTGGGTTTCTGGTTGCACGTTTTACTTTTAGTAAGTGGCGACCCCCAGTGGTGTCACTTACTTAATGTGAGCAAGGGACTGTTACGGTTATTAACGGGTGCACAGTGAACTGCCTAGTCTGTGACTTACAAGTTTGACTGCTGTATGCTAATTGCTGTTTTGAGGTATACGTATACAGTGAAATGCTTAGTTCTGTGACTTACAATTTCTACTGCTCTACTGCTTTGCAATTGGAATGCTACTGAAGTGGGCTTAGCACTTCTGGCTGGTGACAGCTGTGTGTTGGATTTATGAGGACTCAAAGAAAACAAAATGAGTTTGTGTTACAATTAAACGATCAAATTTACCACAACAGCTGAGTGTTTGTTTAGGAAATTAAACGAGTAATTTAACTTACAAAATCAAAAGGAGGAACGGAAAAAAGGAAAAAATTAATTTTGAAAAAATTAATTTTAGAAAAATAAAATTTTGGAAATTTTAAATTATTCAAAAATGATCAAAGTCAATTCTGGACTAATGTACATAAACACTGTGATAAAGCTGGTATAACAGCCTCACACGGGGCACCATTATGTTGGGAATAACAGCCTCAAAAAGGGGCCACCAATATGTTGGGAATAACAGCCCGACATGGGTTATCAGCAATATGTTGGGAACGTAAAGGAGCGTGTTTGGGTTATCAGCATCTAAGAAACTAAATTCTTGACATCAATAGAATTATTAATGTCAGTAACAATTATTAATGATTATTAATAATAACGGGGCACCACCCTGTGAACAGGGACCAATAACCAAACGATAAACTAAGTCTCATAATTAGTGTTCACTCACAATGTCAACAGTCTGAGTACTATTACACATTCAGAGTGAAAGTGAAGGTTTAAGTTCGAGCACAGACCACATATACAGCTATTATCACAATACACATGCACAAAGTAATCACAGACAGCTGCTCTTCAAAATATAACAGAGTTTATTACGTTCTAATACTAATGATCTAGTCAACTAATATCTAAACTAACAACAACTATACATTCATGAGCACGCTATCTAAAATCAACAGACTATTGAAAAGAGGAGGGGGGAGTGTGTGTGTGTGTGTGCGTAAGGGGGAGGAGCGAGGGAATAGCTCAGCGACGTATGACGTAGTTGGGACGTGATGACGTCTCTCATGCGCGAGACTCAAAATGGCGGATAGCCAACAGGAGACCCGGCGTCTAGTGCCGGTAGCCGTTTAGCACGTAGCTACATTAGCTCAAAGCTATATGTGTTTGTGTGGATTAGTAAAAGAGAAGGGAAAGGAACAAAACAAAATGAAATAAAACAAAAGATTAAGATCCTCTGCGCCGCGCGGGAGTGCGGAAGATTGCTCTCTCAGCCAGGGGAGCAAGAACCGCGACTCTTTGTCTCAGCCGGCAGTTCTGACCTCCTGAACTGATGAGAAGCAACTTCGACCTCACGAGGCAGCTATCTCAACACAGATCACGGTAGCATGAAATACACTAGCTTCTCCACAACCCCAACGATCTCAGCGACCGTTAGTGTCAGCGATTATTAAGCATACACCACGTTATAAAAATGAACAGTACTTTAAGCACACAAACAAGATAAAATAAACACAAATGAACTCTCTCTAACTCTGCCCAGAATCTATTTCGCCTTACGGTACGATGCAATCGTGGTGATTGAGTTCTCTCTCTCTCTCTTTCTGAAGAAGTCTTGCTTCTTCACTACTGCAGGAATAAAAGGGTTCGCTTCGTGGATACGAACAAAGATAAAATAGACAGTTTGGTGAATTCGGCCAGCGAATATAAACTGTTAGACCTAGGATTTGGTTGAAAAGGGAAACAACGTTGGTGTGCTCCCTAGCTCGACAGAGGTTGAAGGGGAAAAAGCATTGAGGTGGGGGTTGCTGGTAGTTTTGTAGAACGGTGGCTGAACCACAGGGGTCCTGGGGTGTCTTGGCTCTCGGCCAATTAGATTGCAGCGCTGCTTTCAGGTAACTTCAGGAAGACAGTTTTTTTGGGGGGAGGAAACTCACACCCTAATGTGAATTTCTTCAGAGTTGGGGTTTGGTGCTCAAACTACAATCAGGATGAAACCTTTGCTTGCAAAAGGGAAGGCCTGACTCTTTGTTCCACAGCACATGTCGAAGCCATATAGTCAGATCCCAACATTAATGATATAAGCGAAGCCTCATTTTTATCTGCAACTGTGCAGAAACACTGAATGAACAGAGTGAATAGACAAAAAAAAAGTGAGCAGCATTCAAATGTTGATTTAGAATTGTAATGCCAAGGTTATGAAAGAAGCTTTAAACTAGTACAGCTGTAATACATTAATTAATGAATTACATAATTATGAAATAAGTAAGATGTGGCTTACTCATACCGGTGAAATACACTCTGGTTCGATTCCTTTCTAGTTTTGCTATCTGCCCATGCCGACTCCAGGGGAGTGAAGAGGAGTTCGGTTGTAAAGTGAACTGCAGACTTGAGCCGCGGTCTGCCCACACGGATGACATGCTGGACTCAGTCTGCAGAGCCCTGGAGCACTTTGGTTTATTCATATTGAGCAAAATAAGTGTCCAAATTACACCAATTTTGACAGAGCACTCCCTTCGGTCCCCAGCAATGGACCTGCCAAGTGTGGAGAAAATCTGATGTTCTCAAGATATTGATGGATTCAGTGGCGGGCCGTGGATTTTATACCTGGGCCTTCTGTGCTGTCCTACTACAGTTGAATTACCTCCTAATAACCTCATTATGACAAATCAATCCAGCAAACCTGCAGCGGATCCACGCATTCCACCACACAAGAGCACGAGCCATTCAAATATTATTCATAAAAACGACACAGTGCAGATGGAAAAAACAAACGCAGTTTCTCACTTACCGAATGCTGTTCACTTAAAGACAAACTCCATCTTTGTTAAAGAGTTTAATCCCAGTACACCGTTTCAGTTCCAGTAAGAAGTCCTTCTCGATTCATGGACGCCAGTGGTGACAGTTGAGCCTCCCCAGTTGTATTTCGCCGGTCTGCTGCGGCCGGTTCGCAGCGGGGCCGGGATCCCATCCCCGCCAGTCGGCGCAGACCGCACGCCGGGCCGCGGTTGTGGAGCTGTTTCCCTGCGAACGTGTTCGTTGAGTTGTAGATCCACCTGAGTCTCTCCAACAGTTTTCAAATGCACCGTAGCTTGTGTCCTGCCATGCTATGGCGTCCTCTGGTTAGCGTAGCGTAGCTCCAAACACCAAGAGCTCAGTTAAAATGAAACACATTCCCAGCCATAAAATGTGCAACGCTTGTCCGACGCTGTCAGCAAGAAGTACCGTTCATACAAATCCTTTTCCTGGCTGAGTCAGGCTGCCAGCTGTGGCGTTGACTGATCATTTCCTACAATGTCCAGCTTTTCCTGAAATGTCCTTTCTTGAGAAAGGCGTTGTCAGTAACTCCGCCACTAAATCCGTTTCTCCTCCTTATTCAGCCATTGAGTGTTAAAAAAACAAAGCTAGGTAAAAAATAAATAAACTACACCAAGCAAAACCCTAAAAATTTTTATAATTTCTTCCATATCTTTGAATTTTAACTCTTACTCCTCCAACTATAGCTCTGCTGGCAAGTTAAGTTTCAGTTCACAATAGTCACGTGCTCGCCCACTGACCAATCACAGCGCACGCTGCACCTCACTGCAGCGCTGCACCTGAAAACTGAGCTGCACGTTAATGCTGACGTACTTGTAAGCCAGCTAGAAGGCTCTGGCATGTCAAAGAATACACCCAACATGTCAAACTAAAGATCTAATTGGTTGAAGACTATGACAATCAACAATATCGTCCCCATTCACTTAAACTGCAAAGGGATTCACTTGTGAGTCTGCAGGCCTCGGGCCTCTCTTCTTACCTAGAGACACAGAGGTGAAATCTAATTGGATAAAAGCTCTACTTAAAACAAGCTGCACTGGAAGCAGAGCAACTGAGGAAGACTAGCTGTGCAATGAGAAAATAAGATAATGGGGAAAATATTTTTATAAATTATAATACATGTAGTGTATTTAAGAAAAATGATAAAATTATAAAATAGCCATAACTTTGTGATTGTGTTTAGGCCAGCAGAGAAGGCCTTGAAGGCCCTGACGGCCCACCACTGGATGGATTGACAGACAGACGGACATTCCTTGCTCCATAGTTAGATACATCAGTGAGTTAGAGCTTGTTTATAGAATGAAACAAATTCTGCCTTAATCCCACCTTCCATACACGTATTGACCTAAGAGAGAGAGAGAGAAACTCACCTTGCTGGAACTCGTTGAGCTTCTTGATGGCCTCATCTCTCTCCTCCTCCAGCTTCTTGCACTTATGTAAAACAGACACACAGAGTCAACGCAGGACCACTGCTGTTTTAATCAACCGTCAGCCATCTCAGTACAAATGAGTGAAAATCAAACCAGACATTTGATGACAGTTTGAGTTTATAAAAAGTTTGAGTCACTGCTCAAAAGGTATTGAGCTTTAATACCGAGCCCAAACTAGGGTTACCTATGGTGGTGTAATGGATCACGGATCGATTCGTGATCGGTTCGGATCACCCCTCACGATTCAGCACACTTGTGAACCGCAGATTAATTGAATCTTTTTTTCAAACAGTTTAATCATCATAGTGTGTAATAAAGTGTTACTGCTGCTGTTCCCTTTCAAGTAACAAGTTCCCGAATATCAATGCAACGTGAACAGATGTAAAGCAGTAGTGTGTTCACCTGAACGGAGCAGGTTAGAAGCATTTAACGGTGAAAGTCATGGTGAGCGGAGGAGCTTGAGAAGCTCCCGGCATCATTTAAGTCGCAGGTTTGGGAGCATTTTGTCTTCCCTGTAACTTATAATGATGGGATGAGGGCGGTGGACAAAACCGTTACTGTATGTAGGCGTTGTTTAAATAAAAAGACCGACGACAACATCGGGCATGGTCACACATATGAAGCTCCACCATCCCAGTCTGTCAGCGAGGGGAGCCAAAGCACAACAACAACAAGGTATCATCGCAGCATTAAAGAAATCGTTTGTGGCAGAATCAGACCGGGCTAAAGCTGTTACAACATCTATTGGGGTCTTTAATGCTGCAGACATGAGGCCATTCTCAGTTGTGGAAAACAAAGGATTTCAAAATCTGTTTAAAGTGCTCTGCTTGCTCTTTTTTTTCACTCTTTAGATGCTGTAGACACTGGCAGTTTTTTTCTTTCAATATTGATCAAAGGAAGAGGGTAGCATCATACCTCATGTTGCACTTAAACTTAACAGAACTTAGTATTTCTGAATGTTTTATTTTTATTTGTTATTTATTTAATTTTGTTTCAAATTGGACATCTTAAATATTTTTGTTTTTATGTAAGACCATAGCCCAAAGTTCTTTGCTTTAAGTGTTCTTGAAGTTCTTTAATTAATAAATGGAAAGCAAAGTTACTTGTCTCCCCCCGTTTTCTTCGCTGATCTGAAAAATGATCCGAACGGTGACTCAAGAACCGTGATCTGAACCGAGCCGTGAGGTTTGTGATCCGGTGCACCACTAGTTACCTAATATGGGTTTCTGAGGGCTGATACTAATTAGGGCTGAACAATTTAGAGAAAATATATTTATTTTCTTATTCTCATTTTTATTGAAAAACATTATGGTGTGATGTTTCGGGGATCTGCACAAATCCAATCCAAATGTATTTATAAAGAATTCAATAGTTAGCCTAAGTCCTGTACAATCAAACTGTAGCAAAAACCATGAAAACAACACAGTTAGAACACAAAAGACATGTTTGAAAGACAATAATATAGAGAAGCATCTCTCTTAATTAGTTAAAAACCAGAGAATACGAATGTGCTTTAAGAAGCGATTTTAAAAAAGGCATAGGGGACTAACATGCAGAGACAACTCATTCTACAGTCTGGAGGCAACCACTGAAAAGGTCCGATCTCCCCTGTGCTTCAAACCTGATCTAGGGACAACAAGGAGCAAGTGGTCAGTTGACCTGAGGGACTTTGATGGGATATATGGTTGTAAAAGGTCTGAGAGATACCGAACAAAGATGTTTTCTTAAAGGCTTTTACCAGGGGGATAGACCAATAAAAATCAAAAGAAATAAAAGAAATGCAAAATATTTGGCTGCCAATATTATACGTCTAGGGCTTCATCGTGAAAGGTAATGAAGGAGGGAGTGGTCTGTGCTGCCTTTGTCAAGGTTGAAAGGAGAAATAAAGTTTGCCATCTCAGTTCGGACTCAGGCAGCAACCTCCTGGTCTGATAAGTGAAGCTGATGTGCAAGTGCCTTAAACTTGAGTAGTTGAGTTTAGTCTCTATATCGTATACGGCATCTCTATCACGGCTTCACTCCTTCTCGGTCCAAATATAGTCACCTCATGTTCACTGGTTGCAAAGAAACAAGATGGTGACGGACAAAATCCAAGTGGCCCAAATGATGAACTCAAGGCTTCAAAACAGCAGTCCACAAACCAATCACGTCGAATGCGTCCTCTTCTTATATACAGTCTATGTTTGGACTACACAGCCTTGTGTTGTAGACGCAAATCAAGCCGTTCCCCACAGCGTGATTGCTTGATGCCTTTACTTCGACCTTGTTCTCAAAAAAGTATGTCTCTCTTTAAAGTGTTATATTCTCGTTCTGTGTGAAAGTGTTGATGACAAAAACACCGGTTCAAAAAAATATATTGACGCGCAAATGAATCACATGAAACAAACATTGTTCATCGAGTGTGCTCTGGCTGGGACTCTGTTTGGTTTAGGCACAGAGGCAGCTTGGTTAGAGAAGCAAACAGCAGACACCCTCCACGCTGCACTGTTGTAACAATGTGGCACTACTTCCACCTTTGATGCTAGAGGTGCATGTCTGGGAGAGGTAAACATGGTTAAACAGGTTGCTTTTGGACAAACAATAAGTGCCGTCATTTGTCTTGTGGACGGAGTCTTTTACGTATATAAGTCTCATGTGTGCCGAAAAAGCTCCTACTACTGTTACACTACAAGTGCTTTCAGGTAATGCGTCTACTACTACTGCTAGGCCAACTACTACTTGTACTGTAACTGTGTACTGATCCTACAGTACTGCTGCTTCTAACTCAACTATATGGATCAAGACTACATATTGTCTTTCTGATGATAACACTTACCTCCATGGCTGCTGTCTCATGCTTCCTCTGCAGGCCCTCATACTCCCGTAGGGCTGTGGGGGGTAAAGGATACCAGTAAGCCATATTCAGTAAATCACAATAAAGCAAATGTCAGTGAGGAACAGAGAACTCACTTCACCCTGTTTAATAATAACAAGTGGAAGCTTCTCCAGCATGTGATACCTCCTCATTCAGTGACTGTGCTGCTTGTGTCCTGAGTCACCTGACTATTACAGCAGGGCAGTGACGCTCTGGTTGTTTTAATATTTGCCTTTGGTTTGGTGTAACTACAGCAGCAAAGGGACCTGCCTTCATGGATGTGTAGATAATCTGGATGGTAGCTGCCAGGATTATTAAAGAAAACAGGGCTTTTATTTAAAACATGTAGATGTGTTAAATACTTTATAAATGAGAACAAATAGATGGAGTTAAAAGGCTGCTGATGTTTTCCTCTCATGAGTAAAACAAAGCAAATGCATAATATTGTGTTCAGCAAAAAATATCCACTTGATGCATCAGGTCAGTGTTTAGAGAAAGGACACCTGCCTTGTAAACTCCTATGGGCCTGATTTGAACACAATAGGCAAAGGTTTTGCTAAAGCTGAATCTGCAATTGGGCGACTGCTACCATCAGAACTCCATCTGATCATCCACAAAATGACTCAAATATCAAAAGATGATCAATACTAAAGCAGCACCGAAAGTAACAACCCAACTCATCACTTGAAACTGAAAAATGTCCTGTTCATCTTCAAAAGAAGTTGGTTTTCAAAATTGCGAGAATTCAGTCTCGCTCTTCTTGGGCTGAAGACTAGTCCTGCGATGCTAAATAGCCTTTCACAGGCCGCTGAGGCAGGTAGAGGTGTAAAGAACTCTTAAGAGGTTCTGTGAATATGTCCTACAAACCTTTTAATTAGAAGTTACTTAAGTTAATCACTTCCTGCTAGCCTTTATTTTGTAAGTCCCGTTTTACGTTTTGGGTCCTTTATTTTGAAATATTTTTTGGCGAAACCGGAAGCCGGTCCAAATCTCGTCAGAGTATGTTAGCTTGACTTCGCCACAAGAAAAGTATGAAATTCAAGTACAGACTAAAAGGAAAAGTATTATAAAATATATTACTCCGCAATAAGAGTTTAATAATTAACGGTTAAGCACCTAGCTGGAACGGGAACAAGGTATTGTGTGTTCATTGTGTTTGATGTGTTGGTGTTTCAACTGGATGCTAATGTTAGCTTAACAGATATAGCTAAATGACTAGGCTGTGGTTTTGAGCTGGCATTGGCATCTGGTTGAAACATTAATATATGCTCCCATGTATATTAAATGTTATTTTCTGAATGTTTAAACTCGTAAGAGCTCATTTATGTTTTATCTGTTCCGTAGCTCTTACGGTGTTTTCTGGAGAAAGGAGAAAAGTAAATTTGTGTTCATCAAAGTAAAAGTCAACGGTTGAACATGAATAAAGGCCTCTGAAACATCAATATGCTTCACCATTGTCCGGCTGGGGTCCGCTACAGTAAGAGCTTGGCCCTCACCGAACTGATGACTTGCTGCCTCTATGACGGGCCGTGACAGAGTATCTTCACGGCTACCTGCTGCTGCTGCTACGTCTCCACATGCTGTCCACATGGATTCATCCAGCGTCACCTGTGCCCATGTGCCAGCACGTGATCCACTTCGGCAACTGTGGTAGTGGTCTCATGGGTTCGGTGCATTGGTCAAGTACCGGCACAATTACCCCCCCCCCCCCCTTTATTACCCACAGTCTACAGTACTGCAAATAAGGAAATAAGGTGAGCCTTGAGACTGAACCAGTGAACATTTCATACTAACCTGCTCATCTACAGTAAAGGAAAGACATTGTTGTTTACATATGGACTCTTATTAATTACAAACATTTTACTACTTTGGATGCTATATTCCAATTACTTTGAGAATTGTGTTAACACAGTACTTACCTGAATATTTACAGTAATTTGAGTATATGCACACGAACGCAACTGTGTTACTTTCTACTGTTGATCTGATATTATATGTTCATGCTGTTTATTGCAAGGGTTTTATAATATCTGTTTAAAGGTTTTTCTATTGACTAAATTATTTAAGAAATTTAGTTTACGATGTCAGAGTCGGGTAGCGTTAAGGAGACTGAGGAACTTCAAGATTTGCAGAGTGAGCTCCTCTCACTGACTGATGTATCTGAGAGACCCAGTCTGAAAGATAATCTTCACAAAAATGATGACCAACCTGAAGGTCCTCGACGCTCTGAACGTACACGGAACCCTACAGAGAAAATGCTTGTGTTGCAAGGTGAAGAAGCCAAGAGAAGGGAAAAAAGGCTGCTCCTAATGTATGAGAAATGGAAGCTCAATGTACGTAAGGCAAGAGATCAGCTGAAGACGTACATGCCAGAGAGCGAGCTCTGGCCTCTCATTGAAGAGCTGAAGAAAAGTAAAGATAAAGTAACGAACATGTATTTCGAGAATCGAGATCTCGCCACACCTTCCACTGACGTGAGAAGACGAGTAAATACGTGTGAATCAATTACCACGGAAATTGTCAGTATCGCCTATAATAGAGCAATTGATGAAGAAAGTGAGTTTAATGAGGACCAGGAAAGACACCGCCTTCATGAACTGCTCCACCGTGACTGTTCAAAGTCTGTCTACGGATCTGCTGCTTCTTCTATAAGTCACAGCAAATCTGAACACCATTCTATAACTTCGTCCATGGCAGCTAAGCGTGTGGATGCAGCTGCTGAACTTGCAGTGAAGGAAGTAAATTATAAGATGATGGTAGCAGAAGAAAGGCAAAAGGAAGTGATCCGAGAGTTAGACGAACAGCAACGGAAGGCTCTAGAAGCACAAAAGCGTGAGTTGGAGCGATTGCAGGCAGAGAAGGAAGTGCGGGCGGCTCAAGCCAAACTTAAGGTGTACGATAAGGAAATGGAACGTGAAGCCGCTGACTGCATTAACAACGAAAGGAACAAGGACTCAAGGAATGAGCCTGTAACCACAGTCCCTCTTTCACATGCTCCAACACCCTCTCCTGCAGACATTTCCTCTCTTGCTCAGGTCTTTCAAGACAGCATAGCCTTAAATAGGCTCCCTCTTCCAGAGCCATCCATCTTCAGTGGTGATGCAATGCAATTCATTGAATGGAAAGCAGCATTTACCTCACTCATCGACCAAAGGGCGATCACTCCAGCTGAAAAACTCTACTATCTGAAGAAATACGTTGGTGGTCCAGCACGTCAGGTGCTAGATGGGACTTTCTTCCGAAACGATGATGAGGCCTATCAGGATGCCTGGAACAAGCTAAATCGTCGCTTTGGCCAGCCATTCACCATTCAGAGAGCATTCAGAGAGAAGCTCACTAATTGACCAAGGATTCAAGCTAAGGATGCTCAAGGACTCAGAAGCTTCTCAGATTTTCTGAGTGCCTGTCAAGATGCCTTGCCTCATTTCAAGGGTCTCGACATATTAAATGACTGTGAGGAAAACCAGAAGCTCACCCGTAAACTACCAGACTGGGCAGCTTCAAGCTGGAACCGACAAGTCACACATAGACTAAACGAGAAACAAGAATTTCCAAGTTTCAAGGACTTTGCAATCTTTGTGTTAACTGAAGCTGAGATTGCCTGCAATCCAATTACATCTTTCCATGCTCTTCATACATCAGACTCTCACACTGAAAAGAGAAATCTCCTAGACACAAAGAGAGACAGGGCCAGTTCTTACCACTCACACAGCTACAGACAATGCAAACCAAAGGATGGATCAGAGACAGGTTAAAATGCCCTGTATTCTCTGTCAAGATAATAGACACCAGCTACATGCATGTCCTAAGTTCATGGAAATGTTGTTGGAAGAGCGACGGAACTACGTAAGGGACAAGAAACTTTGCTACGGATGCTTAAAATCTGGCCACAGTGCAAAAGATTGTCGTCACCGTCACTTCTGCGACAACTACAAAGGAAAGCATCCTACAATCCTCCATGACTACAGCTATGGAAATGAAAGGTCTTCATCAGAAACAGGGACAAATCAAGGTGTCGCTGCAACGTCCCTCAGTGTAGCAGGTGAGGGCTTATCCTACACATCAATGGTAATGCCTGTGTGGGTGTCATCTAACCACAACCCTACAGTTGAGAAGCTTGTCTACGCTCTACTCGACACTCAAAGCGATACCACATTCATCGACCAAGAAGTGAGTGACAGTTTAGTTGCTAACAAGTATCCAGTGAAGTTGAAGTTGACCACGATGACTGGAAAGAACACGGTTCTCCCAATTGAGTGTGTTTCTGGCCTTTGTGTAAGAGGATACAGTTCATCCATTCATGTTGAACTTCCAGGTGCCTACACAAAGGACTGCATACCTATAAACCGCGCTCACATTCCCACTTGTGAGAAGGCTAAACAATGGAACCACCTCAGAGGAATAGCTGACAAAATCCAACCACTAAAGGACTATGAAGTAGGACTTCTGATAGGCTACAACTGTTCCAGAGCAATGGCACCAAGACAAGTCATTCTAGGAGGAGATGAGGAACCCTATGCTGTACGGACGGATCTAGGGTGGTCTATTGTGGGGCGCTCCTCACAAAGCCATGATTCACTGACCACAAGTGGCTTGTGTCACAGAATCACAGTTAAAGAGCTACCTCTGGTAACACCTGCAGATGCAATTCGAATTCTAGAATCCGACTGGCAGTGAAGACTGTAAAATAGTGTCACAAGACGACATCACCTTTCTCAACAAGCTAGATGAGAGCATACAGAAAAATACGCATAGCCACTACGAAATGCCTCTGCCTTTTAAAAGCAGACCCAGCTTACCTGACAACAAGGATTCAGCCATGATACGCCTCAACCACCTGAAAAGGAAATTGCAACGGAACGAAAGGTATAAGGAGCAGTATGTCAAATTCATGGGAGAGGTCATCGAAAGAGGAGACGCAGAGCAGATCGTAGATGGTGGGAGTGAAGGTGAGAGATGGTACATTCCACATCACGGCGTTTATCATGCAAGAAAGCCAGGTAAACTTCGCGTA